ACCACAAGCCTTCTCCATAATCGCTACATGAGGGTTTCCCAAAAGAGGGGTGCCTTTGGGGAGGGTCCCTGTAATTAGGGGTCCAGATTGGGGTCCCAAATCTTAGCAAACTACCATACGAAAGTAAGTTACCTGGTTCATTGCTGGGATAGGTTTACAATGGTGATAGCGTTGTTTTCGTCGGGTTTTCGTCGGGTTTTCGCATGAGTAAATTCTCAGATGGTATTCAGCAAAAGACCTATTTACAGGGCTTCAGGATTCAAGCAGTGCCTCAACCCAAGAGCATACAACCTAAGCTCCCAAATAATGATAGCCTATCTACCCATTTGGGGTTTAGGGTGGATCATAGGCTGTCATTATACATTTTGATTTGGGAGGTCTGGGCAGACACTAAAGGGAGGACGCGAGAAGTCTCAAGGCTAAGGCTGACACGTTCTTTTTTGCAGGGACCCGGGTCATTTACCCTGAACTGCACGTGGTTCCTTCGGGCTTACATCTAAGATGTGTGGTGCAGTAACGATCCTGGAAGGGGTCTCATTCACGGGCTACTACAACTCCTATTACCTACTGTGGCAGCTTTTACTGCCAGGGGGAATGCCCGAAAGTTTGTGGTTGAGGCTCACAGTACTGTGCTAAGTCTTCCTACAGGCCACCCCCAACTCTCTCTTTCCAGTATGCCTTTCTGACCCTAAACCCCAAACCCCGGACCCTAAACCGCAAACTCGAGACCCTGAACCCTAAACTCCCTCTGTACCTTAGAGCTCAGGGTATCCGTATGATGGTAACTTAGTTCAAGTATGTAACGCTTATTCTTCTTCATGTTATAATAGTAAAAAAAAAAAAACGTCTTGATATTGCTAGGTTGGATGGCGCTAGTGTCTGCGGATAGCGTTTTTGTTCTTTCTTTTTTATCTCTTGGTGAGGATGTTGCCTTCAGTATGCTGAAGGCGTTTTTGCTCACAGGGCAGCTTCTGTCCTTAAGGCCAAACATGACAGATCCCCCTAAACCCTACACCCTGAACTGTAAATCCTAGACCCTTCTAGTTTCACCTAGGCTCACTGCTCATGACCGTTCTCGAACTTTGAAGCAAAATCAGACACACTAAGCCTTGAGTCTGTCAGCAATGCTGGCCCGGTCACAGTGTCTTGTGGGTCCAGGGCGACTTCATACGTGTCGCCATTGAGCATCAACAATTTCACCTCGTGACTCTGTTTTGGGTTTTGGGTTTACACGGGTCAGCATAACCTAGAGGGCTAATGCCGAATTACAAAAGGGATCTCTTTGAGATTCCTATAGCCAGTTATAGCTTTTATACAGATGTATGTAAGGGTATGTAGGGCTTGTGGCGTTGGCCTAGATATTCTACTATCAGAATATCAGGATCAAAGGGGCGTAATGTTATAACATTGGTACTTCTCTTCAGGAACCAGTTAACCCTGAATCATGTACCCTAAGCCGAAACCCTACACTCTAAACCGTAAGCCCTAAATCCTAAACTCCAAATCCTGAACCATAAATCCTAGAACCTTAAACCCTAAGGCCTAGGCTGCCCTACCTGAGTCGGAGGCGATAGCCCTCCGGGTCAGCAATTAATCTGAGATAGGCTTGAGGTTGAGGGTACGTCATCCCAATTATGACTGCAGCCATAGTCCAAATTTACCCAATATTATTGTGCTTTGGGGATTTATTGTTGGGTTATGGGAGTAGTCATACTTACTGTAAACCGAAAATCCCAAACCCTAAACCCTAAATCCTAAGGAGGCTGTTACTGCTGTAAATAGGTTAGATCTACCCCCAAGCCCTAAACCCCTAAACCCCCAAACCCCTAAACCCCTAAACCCTGAACCCCTAAACCCTGAACCCCTAAACCCTGAACCCCTGAACCCTGAGCCCCTAAACCCAAACAAAGACCGGGACTAACGAGTTGTCCAGCTATGTACACGACATAGGCGGCTAGCCCCTTGTCACGCAAGGCAGGAGGCCCACAAAGGGATTCCAATCTCAACACGGTTTCAGGTACACGGTTTAGGGTTTAGGGTGTAGGGTTTAGGCTTCAGGGTTCAGGTCTCAGGATATGTTTACCCCCATAAGATTCCCCCTTACTCAACCTTGATGAACCCAAACAAGCCCAATTAAGGGAATCTTGGAGATAGTGGGGGGGTAAGTAGAGGAATCCGTAAGTTGAGCATTTCGCAACCTACCATCGGGGTAGGGTCTAGGACTTTGGGTTTAGGGTTTGGGCCGTGGGGCTTGGGGACTCGTAGGGCTTCACACCCCCTGCAGAATACTGCTAATACCAAAAAATCTTGCATAGGATACTAAACGACCATCATTCCTGAGGTATAAGGTACTTACGGCCATACAGGATGTTGAATAAGCCCTACAAACCGAACTATACACCCAGATTCCATTTCATTTTCCATTTGATTTCCATTTTGGGAGGAATATCCCCATATAAACCCTCCACCGCATGACAACAAAGCCAGATCACCATGACCTTTTTTGACGCAGCCGCTGCCATGGCTTTGCAGTGGAACTGAGGCCTCAGAATACCGACATTGTTTTTGAGCTTGAGGGTTAGGATATATGATTTAGCGTTCAGGGCGTAGGATTTGGGATATAAGTCTGAGGATTTAGGGTTTAGGATTCGAAGCTTAGGGTGTAGGGCTAGGGTTTCGGGGCCAGCAGGCCACAGAGTCACCTCAAGTGCAACGTGCTGTGCGGCATGCTACTGGGGATCGGCTGCAGTCCTGAGGTGCTTGGCAGGCCAGGGGCCCGCATCAAGCCCACATTCGCTCGTAGAGGACGCGGGGCCCGCGTCTAAGACCCAAACTGGCCTGGAAAAAACAGACAGGGGAGCCGAGAACGCAAGGCCTGCGCAGACCAGTACTGTCTGCAGGGAGAACAGTGCTGGGCCTGTCGTACGTGCTACTGGTCCCAGCCTGTGAAAGGCAGGTGATCGTTCTGGGTCGGCCTTGCACCATCGAGGGCGAGGGGCATAAGCGCGCCCACCATCGTAGGTGGGTGGCGTGACTTGAGTTTAGGGTGCGGGGTTTGGGGTGTAAGGGTTTAGGACTTAAGGCTTAGGGTTTGGGTTTTAAGGTTTTGGGTTAAAGTGCCTGTCTAATGTACATAATGAAGAATCCCATGGAAAAGAACCAGAAAAAAGAAATAGAAAGTGAATTTACGCGGGGTGTTTTGGGTTTAGGTAAGGGGATTGCAGCGTAGAGGCCAATTTGAGTAGGACCGGGGATTTGGGTTGCAGTATAGTCGCATAAAAACAACCACTTTTAACCTGTCAAGTATACATAAGAAAGAATTCAGAAAATGTTCTTCAACAATAACCCAGTTTCTGCCGCGACCAGCAGAAGCTTCCAAGAGGCGGAGTTCAATGCTCGAAGGATTTACGGACAATGCCAGCTAGTGATTGACAAGTCACATGAGCGGCGCTTGAAAGCAGAATCAAAACGTATTGGTCTAACCCTAAACTGAATTAAACAATGGCACTATGAACCTCTAGCAGCTAGCCATTATGAAGCTAACCCACCCACATGGCCGTAATTCCGAAACCCTAAATCGTGAGTATGAGATCGTTGAGCCGCATGGCTGCCAAGAGCAAGCAAGTTTTGGGGTAGGTTTTGGGTTTCAGGGTTTAGGCTTTAGGGAGTTTAGGGTTTGGACTTTAAAGGACTTAGGGCCTCAAGGGTTTGAGGGAGTTTAGGGATTCGCTCGAAGCAATAGAAAATGGAAACCACATGGAATAGAAACGGGAAAATGCCTGGCAAATTGGATCACTAAAGGAGAGTAATGGGTATTGAGCTGCAAGACCTAGATTGTTATAATACGGCCGTCAGGTTACCTGATGCCACAGATTTATAAAAGGACTGATAGGGAACGCTATTGGTAGCTCCTCCGCACTAGACACTCCATGAACCACCATAGAACCCAACTTTCCATTTCATCACGCATTGTTTTTTTTCAATTGCGGATCCATGTGCTGATAAAAGCCCTCAACCCTAAACCCTAAATTAGACAAGCCCCTACATTACTGGGAGAGGGTTTCGCTATTGTTGTGCAGGTTGCTGTCTCTGGGTTGAAGATGGAAGCCGAAGAACTTTCGGGCTAAGACTGGGGTTTAGTGTTTCGGGCAAAATAATGGTCAGCGGAAAAGAAAACAATGCGGAAAATGTAGTGGTAACTGGGCTTCTATGTTCTGGAAAAATTGATCTAGGGATTGCAATGGAGGAGCCTAGATATTTAGAACACAGCTTCGGAGTGTATCATGCTAGAGCTACCACAGGACTATGCGGGGATAATGCTATTGATTTCTCAGGCTTCTTTTTACTCAACATTGCTTGCAAAATCCTACAAGTAGACACAGCTGGTCCTTGAAGGGCTCTTAGCAGCTAGGGCACAAGTAAGCTATCGCACTTCTTTGTATCTGCAAGCCTGTGGCAGAAAAGGTCCTTCCACCTTGCCCTGGAAACCTTGCTCTTTAACTCAATCCAAAGCACATGCATAGAGGTTCTCAAACCCCAAATAGAATAGGGGATGCAGGGGGCGCATACATGTTTTGTGAAAGCAATGAAAAAAGTATAGTTACCTTGGACTGCCAAACAAAACACGTAAGAATAACAGCAAACAGTCTGTCACCCGCTTAAGAAGGAAAATGGAAAGGAGTCTAGGGTTTAGGATACAGTATTGGCACAAACGCAATACCTGAGAGCTTCTCGAAACCCGCCCTTGGCAATCCCTGAAGCAAACCCCTAGGATCTCCCTCGTACTTCCCATTTACCCCCTATGCCCCCTAAAGCCGAGGGCCGCCCATTTCCCAAATATCCCTCACCTCACGCTTCTGCAAAATGAGTCGTAGCCCCACAAGGTAGCCACTAAAGCAAGGGTATCACAAAGATAGTCGCACATTCGCTTTATACTTATTACCAGTATTTTCCAGCTGTTTCTGGGGGGGCAGTATCCAAAGCACACTTGAGTGCTGAGCCCATCGAGGTGCCAATAATTTCGTGACCTCAGCAAGGGGTATCCTCCCGCAGACCGGCCCTCTTGGGAGGTGCTTCCATGTGAATCCCCTCCCCCTGAAACTACACTTTGCTACCCCTAATAACCACCCCCGTACAGTACCAGCACATGTTTGGGGGAATATGACTTTGGGGGGTAAGGAGTTTGTTATTACGGGTAGGTGACTAATTTGCCAGAAGCTACCTTCAGGTCAAGGGGAATTATTTCCTACCCATAACTGTATGTATAATCCAAGTATATACAGGCCTCCTGAGCCCTGAATATGTTATAACCACATATACATTTGAGTGATGAATGCCCCGGACACTGATATTAGAAGTATCCATGGACCTCCAACCCTCCAATCCTACACCAACTTTCAGCTTTGGAGTTCTCACTGGGAAGTTGAGACCACAAGTTTCAGTCTTTAAGGTTAAGAGTTTCGGGTTGGATTTGAAATTACATTCCAATTAGCATCTTATTGGAGGATTGCCTGAATTTGAGCAAGAAGGCTTATGGCCCATCTGGCGGAAGAGGGCTTCTTTTAATGTAGCGTGTACGATTGTCGCCATAGGGTTCATGTAGTCCCTGAACCCTAAACCCATGAGCCACCCAGCTCTCCCCTTATGGTTGACCAAAAACTTTAGTGCAATTGCTTACGCAGCCTTTGCAAGGGCAAGTCAGCAGAGCTCATACCTCCGAAGCCAAAAGCCATGATAGCCCTGAACCCTAAACCCCCTAAACCCTAAAACCCCCAAATTCCCCAATAGAAACTCCACCATCTACAAATAGCGTTAGCTGCGAGACCTGCTCAGACCATAGGGCCATGAAGAAACAGCTCAAGCAGGAGCATGTATATGCTTCGGGCATAGGGCCAGGGCTACAATCCCTAAACCCTAAAACCTATCAAATCTTCAGTCTTGTCAGGTTTGGGGCGCCTGAGGTGGCAACGCTTTTTCGAACCCTCACCCCAGACCCTATACCCGCAACCCTTAACGGTAAACCCCAACCCTAGATTTGAGGTGATTTTCACCCATCAAACGTACAATGTCCTGAAAGTCGTAGACCTTCTGCAGGATCCTACACAAACACCCACTCCTCTCCTTACCTCTGGTTAGCAGGGTATTGGGGGTTATGACGAGACATCTAAAAAGGTCCATTGCTTCATCCTAAACCCTAAACCCTACACTAGAAAGATCCCTGTCTTCATTCCTTGCTAAGCAGAGATAAGTCCAGCTCGGCATTGATGACAATCCCGCTTTGAGACATGGCCCCTTCACCAAGGAACTCGCATCCCAAGGAGGCCCCCAACACCACTAAACTATGGCATGCTTAGGGTCTAGGGTTTAGAGAAGGCATATACTGAAATCATCCAGCAAGCAGCAGCAGGAGGAAGAAGAACAAGAGGGTAAACCCTAAACCGTGTGAATGCCAAGAGTGCTGGGGAGTGAGCTTGTGGGTTTGTAGCAGATAGCGTTGATTTGGAAGAATCACTTGATGGACCAAGTTCTGTATGCTCCGAAGTATAGGTGTAGGGAAACAGGACCATACTGGATTTAGTCCATCAGCAATTCCAATGAACTTCTACAAGGGGTGCTCAGGGTGCTCACGTTTGGACACTGCCCCATGATATAATCCCTATATGCTTTCCGGGCCTTCTGAGCACGCGAAGGAGAACGTTGGCACTGGATTGGCAACAGGGCCTGCCATCGTTAAACGGCCGGAAGGGGATTCCCAGGTTTGAGGCCCAGGAGCACACAAAACCCATGATTCCGCAAGTAGGGATTCAAAGGTTTAGGCCTCTGGGTCAAGAGTTTTTCAAAAAAGTCCCATCTTGGGAGTCAAGATTGCCTGGGAAAGCTTTAGCAGTTTCACGAAAATGTATTCTTATGGATTACTGGGGAATGTGTACGGATTATTGTCCATAATAACCTCAAACTTATTCGCAGGAATACCCCAATTGTTAGGGCCTAGCCCTGGTCAGAGTCTCAGGCCAAGGGGTCAGTTTAGGGTTTAGGGTTCACATGTTAGGTTTAGGGTTTAAGGTTTGAGGCTTAAGTTTTAAGGTTTGGGGTTTAGGATGTAAGGTGAAGGCCTTACCCGTAGGGGCTATCTAGACCTCATAAGCCTCTAGTCTACCCTTATTAGAGTCCTGGTGAGGAATCATATCCCCATACCACCATGACGCAATCATGCTGTAAACCCTTCATCAACCCCTTCGCCCTAAATCCTAAACCGCCAAACCCTCATACCCCATACTAGTAAGGGAATTTGGAGAAGTCGGAGATTCTCAGAAAGCGTGAGACCAAATGACTGCGATAAGTTTGGGCAATGACATCAATGAGACACCACGCGGTTTAGGGCTTAGGGACCTGGCATCTTAAACAGGGATGCGGATACAACCCTTCCATGTAATGTCACGCTTTCTTTGGCATTACATGTCCATTCATGTGGTAACATTCCTGTACAACCAAGCAATTACAGCGCAAACCCCTAGCAAGTGAAAAAGCCAAACTCCTGAGGCGTACGCTCTAGCTGGCGCCGGCTTCTACTTAAATTCATAATTGCATATTTGGTATGCAGCACCGTAGAAAAGAATCTGTATCCCACCATGATCTAACCAAGCTCCTTCGAGCCCTTAAACCCCTGGCCTCCGAGTGATAGGCAACGGCCAAAGTTTGTGACCCACATCCTGGACCATGCTGCTAGAACCACTTTGGGGTTTAGAGTTTCTTGGAGATCCTAGATAAAAAGGCGGTCATAAGGGGATTATGGGGGTCCCTATTAGGGATTATACCAGTGATGTGTTGAGAGACTCCCATATTGCAACTGTGTGGGGAGTTTGCGGAATTGGCAGGAAACCCTTACATACCGCAATATACTGCTTCATGTTGTACATAATCCCAAAAAGAAGGATTTGTTTGAGACCTCCTATCAAAGGGACGTGCAGGATTTTTCGTATCACCGCAGTGGGATTCGCATGGCCTAACATCCAGGCAGCGATCCCTGATCAACAAAATCCTTAGATTCAAGGCTGACTGCCCCCATTTAGAAAACTACAATGGGGAGTTTGGGAACCCCAAGAATACAGGGTTTAGGGTTTCCCTGTCCTTTACCCATCTAGTAACAGCTGGATAACATGTATATTATTGACATGTTAAGCGCTTAGTTTCTGCTATAAGCAGTGACTGACTGCGGGCAGTACCCAATGTATACCTTCAACCCTGAAGCTTTACATACATGCCACAAACCCTCTCTTTGAAAGCCCATATGTGGCTACATTCGGAAGACAGGTTTGGGCGGGCAATACCCATATCCTATTCAAGTACCCTAAACCCTACATCTTAAACTCTAAAAAAGCAACACTCAAAGCCGCGCAACTTGTCCTAAGTTCAGGCTTCGGATTTCGGATCTGGGTTCAGGGTACTCTAACCTAATAAAGCACAAAACGCGTCTAGACATGAACCCACACCCAAACAACCCTACACCTCCAATTTCTCCCATGTGCAGGCAAGCTGCAGCCATGAGGGCTTTGCCAGATCATGCGTCCGACCTCGAAGTAGTCGAAGGTATTCCTGAGCATGGGCTCTGGCTGAGCGCTTAGGGTTTAGAATAAGTGGATTATAGGCTATAGGGTATGTATTGGAGTTATATAGGGATAATGGAAAAGAAAATTGAAACTACTATTTGGTTAGGGTTTAGGCTTGAGGCTTACGTGGAGGTTCAATTCAAGGTAATCACAACTCAATTATGACACGTTTATGATTGGCAGATTACTACAGCCATACTTGGGTTTTACTTACCCTGAATGTTAAAGCAAGGCTTAGGGTGTAGGGCCTAGCAGTTTGGGCAGAGGGTAATGTACACATTTGGATCTGAAACTCTTAACCCTAAAGTCGAAATCCTAATCCAAAAAGCCTAAACCTGAACCTCAAACTCTTAGACGCTAACCTTTGTGGCCAAGCTCATCAACTTTGGCTTAACTTAAGAGTTCACGCAAAGCCTAGTTTTTTACCCAAGTACTATAACAATTGGAACTTCATGTTCCGTAAGTTTTAAGCACCCTACTGTAAGCCAGCCTGTCCAACAAAGACCCCGATACCTTGAGGCTACAACCTGACAGTAGGGTCTAGGGTTTAGGGTCCAAGGTCTAGAGGTTAGGGCTCAGGGTGTAGGGGCTTAGGGTTTAGAAGTTCGGGCTAAGGACTTAGGGTTTAGGGTCCGTAGGGCTTAGTTAAAGCTTCACGGGACGCACAAGCTAACTATCACTAGGTAGCCCTACTCATAACCCCCCTAGCTGGACTTGTATAGGCTGCCCCAAGTACAAGTAGTGTACTAACCCGGGTTTTACGACGGTACTGTATCCCATCAAAAACTAAGTTCAACCGTAAACCCTGAACCTTAAACCCTAGACCCTGAAGCTCTGAAGTTGGATCCTGAAAGCAACAACCCTAAGCCCGCTTCCAAGTATCCCCTTCGAAGAGGTCCAGCCGTTTCCACTTTGACTCATTCTCCTCGGTGCTCTCCACATCGGCCTGGATTTGCAGTTCAAGGTTTCGGGGTTTAGGGTTTAGGGTGAAGAGTTGAAGGTTTAATCCTTTGGGCGGTTTCGGGATTAGGGTTTAGCTTAGTTAGGGTCCAAGTTTCAAGGCTTAGAGTTTGGGGTCTGGGGCTCAAGGTTCAATCACAAGCTCTGTGAAATATAACGTTCATGGGTTTTATGGGGTATAAATCGGGATTAGGGTCCATGATGAATTATTCCAAGGAATACCCCATTGTGGCTGAGGATTTGACAGCCCACTACTCTAAATGTGAGTTTCCGGCAGGGATTAGGATTCATTCAGTCAGGGTTTCCCAAAATTAGGAGAACGACGATTTGGGGGTCTCCAGAAGAAGGACTATAGCATTCTAGCGTCAATATTGGGGCGACTATCTGACTATCAAGCCCCAAATGCCTGAATGTACTATAGGGTCCTGAATTACGGATATCATTTTAAGGTCTATATGAGGTACCTATACTGTAACTATGCAAGGACGCTACACTGTGGTAATTGTTTAAGCCTCTTCCTTAAGTCCTAGCGTCCTTGGGCCGACCGGCCGGAATGTCTTTTTGAAACTTCAGGTTTAGGGTTTAATCCATAATCTTGACGAATAGAACCCAGGCTCAAAGAATATGTTGGGGGCCAAACTACGAGTTAAAGATATTTCTTTAAGGCAGAGACATTTTCGGGCCACACACCTCTGCAATTAAAAAATGCCTCCACACCCTAGAACCAACAGAAACACTGTTATTGAGTTCTTATATGCTTTTACAAACATTTTCAAGTCAGCTCCCAATCTAAATCTTTATCCGGAGCGAACCTTGTAAAGCTTAAGATTAGGAAGAATCCAGAGCAAGGATTGGGTTTAGGGCCTCTTCCTCCCCGCCTCGCCGAGGAAACGCAACCTCATCTCCTGCACGGACTTGTCACCAATCCATTCGACTGCAGAGACATCCTCGGTCAATACGCGCTTTAGGAATCTTTAGGGATTAAGGGTTTAGGGTTTAGGTTTAAGTAAGCTCTATGGGCTTTCCATATATGGGGAGTCCTATGTTAGAAGTTCATATGGGACCTAGTGTTTAGGGCTACGGAGCGCCAGGGATGTCTCAGGGAGCCCTTAATTACTTAAGCATGTCTCACTTGCTGGGACTGGAGTGACCACAGGCCATACACTCGGTTCAAAGATCCGTTTCTGGTCTTGAAGGCTTGTGTGTTTGAGAGATCCTAAACCCTAAACCCTTCTATAAAAATTGGGCCGGACTTCGCAATGCCCATGAGAAGAAGTCTGGGTCCTAATTCGTGTGGTGAAGAATTTCTCCTCTCATGGGCCTCATAAAAATTGCCACAAGCCGCTGTTAAGGATTTGGGTTCAGGGCTCTAGTTTCGTTTGATTGTCTATGCTCTTTCCACTTGGTTCTTCACTACTGTTTATAGAGGTCTCCTCTCATCAGCCTAAAGAAGTCGAAAACATGAACCAACCATAGGCCTCAGAAGGGAAAGCCAGGCTAAGTTTAGGGCATCACGTTTAAGGCTCTTTAGGGTCTAGGGAGGGCCAGTGGACTTAGTAAGTAGGTTTACGATGGGCATCACCGAGGTTTCCACATGGCTGATTTGGGGTTATGCGTGCGTATATGTACTACATCCCCCTAATCCTCCAGGTACATGTTCATGTCCCAGTTAAGGATCTTTGGCTTGAAGTCTCTATCCAGGCGAAATGCACCTAGAGGAATTGCAAGGATCTGCTAGGACCTGAACACGCGCCCTACACACGAGACCCTAAAATCCTCTTCCACCACTTCAACCTAAACTAAACCCTAAACCCTAAATCTGGTGTCACAATCACGAAGGACAGGGGGACACACAAGTTGGGGGCTGAGGGTTTAGGGTGCACCTTCTCGAACCCATAAGCTTTAAAAACTTGTATGGCCCTAAGTACCTGATACTTTGGGGACTTCTGATATCTGGTACGTGAAGGTCATGAGACTTTTTTGGCCTACATATTGAAATCTACAAACTAATCACCAAAACATACAGCAAACCTCTTCCAAAACCTAGCCGCGCCCGAAGCACCAAATGATGTGTCAGAACCACTTGGCAGCGCATTTCCTGCCAGATGCGTTTAGGGTTTAGGGTTCGAGCTTGCGGGCTTGCGGCTGTGAGGGTCGTTCTGGACATCACATGACCCGGACATCAGATGGAGACAAGTGAGAACCCAAAGCACGGCATACACCCCAAGCCCTGAATTCTAAAGCTTGAAACTGGAAAGTCACAAAAAGCCCGCTCAGCCACCCAAACAACGACCAAGGAAGAAGTGGCTCTGAGCAAGCATCTGCGTGAAATGAACAATCCATGGAGGGCACATAGTCATTAGGGAGCAGACGTCATGCCCAAGCCTGAATCATTCCGGAACATAATCCCCTTGTACCTCTTATAAGTATAGCGAAATATGACCCAAACTGATGCCAAGCTTTTTGGCCTCTACATTGGGTCCCCAGCTGCAGGCAGCGCAGGCCGCAACACCAAACCACCAACCAGAGACCCCTCAGCAAACCAGTGATCTTGAGATGCTTTAGGGTTTGGAGTAGTCCTTATAGAATTTCCCCTTTAGCATCTGTCCGCTGCTCCGCGCCCTGGAAGCTAAACGCACACCCTAAACACTAACACATGCAAATCGACCTGCAAAAGCTAAACCCCAACCCTACACCCTTAAGCCACCCTTAAACCTGCGCCCCTAAATCCTACACTGCACACTCTAAATCCCCAATTCTGAACCCTAAATCCAAAGCCCCGAATCTTCTTCAGGTTATGCCCTACAAAGCCCATACAGGACAAACCCCCTAACAAGGACACTGACACTGGGAGGGAACCTCAGGGTTACTTGGACCTATCTGGTAATTTCCCCAGATAAGGGGACCCCAATACAGACCGCAACAAAGTATAATCCTTGTTATAGGGAACGCCAGAGGAAATACTTCTAGTTCTGGGGAACACTAAACCCTACAAAGCGAATCCCTAAACCCTAAACCTCAAGCTCTAAACCCTTAAACAATAAACCCTAAACCCCTAAACCCTAGAATCCTAGACCTGCAAATCTGGGATCTACCAGACTTAGGGACCAGAAGGCCTGTCCTGGTGGGCACCGGAGGCCCACGAAGTGCCGCACCTGGGAAAGGATCGAAGGCCCCTGTGCTTAGGGATTAGGGTTTAGGGTCCAGGGTTTAGCGTTAGGGGACATATAAAAAGATGAAAAAACATGGCTTCATAGGGATCAGGGATGAAGGGCTAAAATCTCTCGAAACAAAAGAGGGTTCAAGCCGACCCCTGAGTGTAATCCTCAGGCGTAATCTGACAACTTCATGCCTCTCGTCAACTGCTCCGCGGTGCTTTGCAAAGGATGGGTTTCAGAGACTTGGGTTTAGGGAAGTTATATTGGGTCGTAGACGGACTAGTTTTGGCATCCATGCCCTCACTCCCTACCAATTACCCTGACCCTAGTGCTTTTCTTCCATATCTGCATTCCCTGCACCCTAAACCCTAAACCTTGACACCCTAAACGCCAAACCCTAAATCCTAAACCCTAAACCCTATATAATCCCCAATAGACTATAGTAGTTTCCATTATGTCTCCCATTATCCCTATAGCAAACCCTAACACCCTAGTGGTTATCCCTATGTAACCCCTAT